CCAGGGAGTCCGGCCTGGCACTCCACACCGTTTTACTCTTCTGTTTTGGTCAGGCTGTCTCAGGGCAGAACCACGTCTCGGGTCCAGGAGGACACCTGGCCATCCAGCTGACAAGGCAGTCCCATGGGCATGGCAGCCAGGCTGCAACGAATGATGGACCTTCCCCATGCCCCATGCCCTTCCCAGCCCCCAGCCCTCCTGAGACCCCCCCCCACCCATGCTCACTTGGTGGCAACCCACGAAGCAGGGAGTCAACACAGCTCTGGGGTGCTGGGTGGGGTAGCTGAGACCCTGCCCTGGCACTTCACACCCCAGTGCAGTGTGGCCCAGAATCAAGAGATGCCCAGGACTCACCCCATCTCTGAGCTGCGGCGGGGAAGCAGGGGAAGCAGACGTCTGCTCCTAGAAGTGGGCACACGCCCCTCGCCCCTCTCCAGCTTGAGATGCCTGGTGAGCACCTCGTTGGTCAGGAGAGTTCAGCTCCCTCCCCTCTGCCCTCCTCCTCCCAATGAGCTCATCTGTCTGGGGCTCCCCCCGCCCTTTGCCCGAAAGGATGTTTGGATAGAACCTGGAAGAAAACAGAAGAGGATGGGTGGGATGGAGGAGTTGGCTGCCTACCTGCCTGTGCCCAGAGCCCTTAGAAAGTGGAGGGTTCAGGAAGAGCTTATCTTTACTCCAACTCCATAATGCCAGGTGGGCTGGGGAGCAGCCCGGCTCGGTGGCCAGTACCGGTTCTGTGTCTCGGACTGCTAGACCACGTGCCTGTGGGCTGGTTTGGTGCATGCTGTCCTGTTAACCCCCTCGGCACCTGCCAAACTTCAGTGGATGCCGAGACTGTGGCTGGGGACGGGCCGGCAGGCACTCTGAGCCGGATAGAAGGAATGTGAGGAGGGACGCCTAGGGAACAGATCTGGGTGCACTAGGAAGGAGGCTCTCAAAAGTTTGTGCAGGTGGCAGCCACCCAGCCCCAACCCGAGAGGCAGAAGGGTTTGAGGGGATTTAACTTTAAATTAATGCAGGCATGCTGGCGGAGAATCTCTCCTGCATTTCCACGGTCCTGAGGTTGGGGCTCTGTTTATAACCAGAGGGAGGGCAGCTAAGGGAAGGTGGTGGAAGCAGATCCTGGTGTAAATCAGAGGCCAGTGGGAGAGGAGCTGTGCGGTGGGGGGTGCGGGGGCTCCCCGCAGAGCCCCGTGATCTCTGCCTCTTGGAGCTGAGTCTGCACAACCGCCAGTGAGCTCCGTTACCTGCAAGGCCCTGGCAGGGATGGGGACAGGGTCAGGAGCAGCGCGGGGGCTTGTGGGGGAAGACGCGGAGAGGGGCGGCGGGCAAGGGCACGCGTGGGAGCCAGAGACGCGAGGCTCCCTGCCAGGCTCCTGTTACTTAGGAGGAACTCCTCTTAAAATAGCTCCCGAGACCTCGAGACTTCGTAGGAGCATTCCCTTACCTTCCCTCCCCTGCCGGGGTCTTGGTGGCCCCCTTTCTGAGAACTAACAGGGGACGGAGCCTTCCATCTACCTGCCCTGGTAGAAGGTGGGACCGCCCCGCCCCCCCGTGTGAGTGCCTTCCCTTGGGAGAGCATTTCCCGGTCTCAGGGACCCGGAGCTCTGCCCCCAGGGGCTCCCCCTCTCCCTGTCCACATGCTTTCCTTCCTGGCTCCAATCCAGCTCCTTGGAGGGCAGGAACTGACAGGTCGCCTGCTCTCAGAGAGGACTACTGGACTAAATGTTTCAGAGAATCTATGTGACCCCCTTCTCAGGAGACAACCTCCTTCCCCTTAAATCTGGGCCCTATCTCCTCATCCTCCCCATCCCCCCCGCAAATGACAGCTCCCTGACAGCTCCTTGGCATGGGGCCCATTCCCTCCCTGCATCCCTGAAAACTTGCTCTTCAAGGTATTTCTGAGCCAGGCTGCCCAAGACCTGAGTGTGCATTCCCCATCACCAAGGATCAAGCCTGTCAGGGTGCCACTGGGGGCTGTGTCCCAGCCACCATTCCCGCCCTCAAGGGACTTCCAGCAGAAGGAGGGAAAAGAACCAAAGAGCCAGGTGCTGCAGCATGCCATTGCACCCCCACCCATAGACGGGGTGCGGGGTGCGGGGGGGGCTCTTGAGCTGGGCAAAGGGGGCTAAATCAGGGAGGGTTCCTCAAAGAGATGGTTCTCAAAGGGTAGGAGAGGGGGAGCTCTGACCTTCTGTCACCCTTTCCCCAAGCACCCTCAGGAGGATCCTCCAAGCTGGATCAATAGCCTAGGGTTTTGAGAATTTTTGAGGCAAGTGTTCTATAAAAGTAGAAATCTTCTAGCCACTAATGCATTTCTCAAGCACTTTTTCTGTCCGGGGTGTAGAACCCTCCTGATGTTCTTTAGAGGAAAGCTGAGGGTGGAGGGAGGGAATCACAGAGTGGGGGAGGTTCTAATCCTGGCTTTAAGACACACTTTCTCTGTGACCTTGGGCTATGCATTCTACCTCTCTGGGCCCTGGTTCTTCATCTGTGAAATGCGTGTGTCTCCTAAGGATCCTTTGGGCTCTCAGCAGGGTGAGCAGTGAGGCAGTGGGGAAGGTGGAGGGCACTGGGGACACGGGATCTAAAGATATCCAGAGAGCTCTGTCCCCTCCCCTCCCCCTTCTCTGGGCAGGGGTCACTTGCCTTCTCTTTGGCTCACCTCCTCTCTCACCTCCGCCTCCTGTTCTGAGAAACATGAGACCTGCTGTAAAAATAAAGTGGACAGGCGTGGATGCCTGGCCCTGTTGATCTAGTGTCCAGGACCTCCTGGGGGAAGGAGAGGGCGGGCCTGGAGATGGGAAGAGATTTAGCGTTTTTTTTTTGGCCACAGACCTCTTTGAGAATAAGAACTAAAATGGACCGCGTGCTTACTCTCTGTCTAGCACTCTGCTAAGCATTTTTACATGCAATAATATCTCATTCGGTCTTCAGAGCTGGGTCCACTTCTGAACTTGTGAGGCCTGGAGAAAGTGTACAAATGGAAATTACCCATGTGCCTAAATATAAGTCATAAATCAAGATAACAAAGTGTTATCTAACATAAAAAAAAAAGATAACAGTGTTAAAGTTTATCTATTATCCTCTGACTTGGTTACTTTTCCTTGACCTTAATTTGAAGACCAGGTCCAAAAAGCACTCTCTGGCCCACGCTCGTGCAAGCCTGAGAACGGTCCACCTGTGTGTCAACTTCTAGCCACTCCCCAGCCCCTGCAAAAAGCTGCACCTTGCCCACTGCCTGGGTGCACCTTGGGCAGTATCGGCTCTTGGGAGGAGGGGCCTGCGGAAGAGGCTGGCTCAGGGTTGAGTCATCTGAGCAGGGAATTCCAGGGTCCTGGATCCCCGGAGGCTGGTCTAGAAGAGGGAGGTGCATGGACCACCCTCCCTTTCTGCCCCATGGGACCCCCTTTTCCAGGGGGTAGATTATTGCCAGAGGAGGGCCAGAGGGAGGCCTTGAAAGCTCAGGAGCCCAGGGCCCCTGTGTCCAGCCTAAGTGTGGCATTGTTCTTAACAATCTCACGAGGTAAGTATCATTCCTTTCACCAGAGTACAGATGAGGCTTCTGCAGAAGATTGCATAACTTGCTCAAGGTCGTGCAGCAATAGATGCTGGAGCTGGGATTCGCCTCCCCAGCGCCTAACCCCAGAGCTACTGCAACACTGTCACAGCTACACGCAGGAACATCAGCGGGCCTCTCTTCTGCAAAAACAGACATTCAGCATTGCCCAGCCATCCTCAGGGTTGATCTCTTTGAAGCCCACCAGGGGCCCCAGGTTAAGAAGGCGGGGGCGCTGGTGAGGCATTGGTGGGGCTGTAGCAGGGGTCAGGCCATGAAGTGGGAGCAGGTTTTCGAGTTTGAACCAGCCTCCAGACATCCAAGGGGTAGAGGACCAGGGAGGCAGACAGGATCTGTGACGGGGGAGGGGGGTCTGGATGGTTGGCAAGGGGCTCCTGAGGAGGATAGAGGGAGGATAGCAGACATTTGCTACCAAACCACCCCAAATAGCACTTCTCACTTGCCCTTCAAGGTTAGATAAGGATTGCTGGTTAGCAGTCTCACTGCCGCCCTCCGACCTGGCTGTAAACCCCAAGCAGGGAGGCCTGCCCTGGGCTCCTTCACCCCCCAACCCAAAAGGGAGGCCCAGGGAATCTCTTGGAGGAGGGTGAAAGGGCAGAGTCTAGGGGGCACAGCCTAGGTGGGAGAAATGAGAAGTAGGGGTGCGGCGGGAGGGTGTAGCCGGACGCAGTTCGGGAGTGTCTGGCCTGATTCCCTAGCTGGGAGCATCACGATTTCCAAGGAGTCCACGATGAAATGGGAGAGGTTGGCGGGCGGTGGGCGGGGGCAGTTTGCAACTGGAAGCTCTGTTCCCGGAGCCCCAAGCCGCGGGGGCGAAGGCGGCGGGCTGCAGGCGCGGGGTGTGTGTGTGTGTGGGGGGTGGGGGTCCGCAGTGGGCAAGCCCGCACCCTCTCACCCGCTGCAGCGTGGCCAGCCGCGGACGTTCGAGTGGTCCCTTTGTGGCCCCGGGAGAGGGAGTCGCTACCCCCCTCGTGGTCCCCAAAGCAGAACAACACAGCCTTCCAACACCCGAAGAGCATCTACTCCCCCCAAAACTATCCTCCTAATTGGCAGCTCAGCGCCTGGGATGCTGCGGGCGGCTGCGGGTGGCCCTGCAGTGCCAAGCCGCAGCCGCCCAGCCCGAGCTGGCCAGGGAGTGGGGTGCCCGGCCTGCTCCCGGGGCTCCCGGGGGCCGCGAGGCGGGGCGCGCCGGGCAGGGTGCGCAGCGGGCGGGGGCGCCCCGGGCTCCGCGGCGGCCCCCGCCCCTCCTGCGGCTGGAGCGCTTCCAGAGCAGAGGCGCAGCGCCGCTCGCCTCTGCGCTCGCTCTTCGGTCCTCCTGCCCGTCGCCGTCGTCCTCCACTCGCTCCTCCTTCTCCGGCCGCTGCCCTCCGCCGCCGCTCCCGCAGCCGGCTCCTCCTCTCCCTCCCTCCCCCGGCTCTTGCGCTCTCCCCGCTAACTTTCCCGAGCCCCGACCCGCGGCGCAGAGCTCCCCGCGGCTTCGCCGCCCACTGCAGACCGCGGGCTGCCAGCCGCTGCGCCCGGTACCCCATCCCCGCGCCCCTGGCGCGCTCCGGAGACAACGCGACCATGCCCGGGGCCGGGGGCCGAGGCGCAGCCCGGGCGAGATGGCTGGGCACCGGGCTTTTGGGTAAGGCAGCCCCGGCTTGACCCCTTCTCCTCTTTCTCCACCCTCCCCCGCCCCCGCCCGGGGAGGGGACACTTAGAAGAGAGGTGCCTCGGACCCGGTGGGCTTTGGAGTGCGGCATGGTGCCGAACGAGCACCGCGGCCACCAGTTTCTTGCCGGCCGCCCGGCTCGGACGGCGGTGCTCCCTGGGGACCGCGCGCGTCTCCGGCCCCAGCGGAGGCAGCCCCGTGATTAGTTCTTCGCTGTCTCGGGCGCCTTCAGCTCCAGGTTCCTGGAGCTGCCTCTCGGGGCTGCAGCACGGGTCTCCCGGGTTCTGAGGTTTAGGCATGCTGGGGGAGGGTGTCTGTGCCCTGGGTGGAGGGGACGCCAGGGGGTCGCACGTACGAGTGTTGGGACGGTGGTTTCTAACCCCAGCCCAGAGCTGTTTGCAACTTGGATGCTTGTTGCCCAGGCATCGGGCATGCACCAATTGTAGGGGGTGGGGAGGGGTGCGCGGGGGCGGAGGGGGGTTCCCCTTCCTCCTGGGCCCTTTTTCTGTTTGTCTCCTCTGCCCTCTATCTCCTCCAGTGCCCACTGTCTTCCCTGAGGCTCCACACCAAGGACTGGAGAGGGTTGGAGGGACTTGGAGCATCGCTCAAGCCCCCTTTTAGAAAGGATCTTGTCTCTCTTCTTACAAAGAGATTCCACAGGGACGCCCTGTTTAACTTGCTCTCAGCTCTTCATTTTGGGGATGAATATGAAGACTGAGGAGATATATCCAGAGGCCACAGAAGGAACAGAGTCTTAGTATCTATTAACATGTACATGATGGTTTTGAGTGACGAGCTCCAAGACATTAGAGAATAATATCAGTCCAGAATATAATCTCATAAACCGTAGCTGGATTTCAATGTAAGCTGACTCCATCTCGGCACCTGCATGTCTTCCTGTTTATATTTGTCAGATTTGGCTTTTGGCAGCTCCCCTCATCCGGCTGGGCATTTGTAGGCTGCAAACAGGGAGACGGAGCTTATAAGGGCAGTGGCTGCTGTTTCTGCAAATGTAAATAAACCGTATGCAGACCCGCCACGTTGGCACATGGTAGTGGAGGGGGATAGAGTGTTTCTCTCACTCAGGAGCCACTGATTTAATTACATACCCGCAGCTAGAGAGGGGACACTGGTGTTTTCTCCTGTCCTTTTGGCACAGAGGTGTGCTCGTTTCACAGTGACCTAATGAGGTTGGTGCCTCCTTGAGGTCTAAGGTGCCTCTTCATGGGGGCGGGCAGAGTACCGCTGCATGCCCGCTCCCCCCATCCCATCTCTGATCAGCTCAGGTTCCCACTGTAACCATGGCTGGGGTAGGGCTCACTGGGGACTTCACATGCATGCAGTCATTAATCCAGCCCACTCATCAACACCTCTGGCTTCCCTTCTGCCTACTGCCCAGTTGGGTGGTGGGATGCCAGTGCCTGGGCCATTAGAATATTCACAGAACCACAGTGGGAAACCACACTATACACTGGGGGAGGACTGTGGGCAGAGTCTTGGTACTTTTCTCCAGGGGGGAACCCCCACCTCCTTCAAGGACTGTTCAGCTGGATAGACCAGGTAGGAGCAGGAGCCCATTGGAGCAGGTTTGGACAAGTCCCTGAGCTACCCTCTGGGAGCCCAGGAAAGAGCAGATTTCTAGGTGGGAGACTTGCAGGCCCCAGAACTGGTCCTGCCTACACTGCTCCCTACCCCTCTGGTTTGCAGAGGGAATACCGCCAGGGGCCCTCTTTGGACCTTGCCCAGGTGGCCATTGCTGAGCCCGTGCAGGGGGCATTGCTTTGAGCTTGGGACACAGATGCCATCCTTGCTCTCAGTCCGGTTGGGGAGATGCAGAGGCGACTGGTCAGTCAACTGGAGAAGCTCCCTGGTACCATCAGAGCTGGCAGGAAGTCTGGAAACCATATCACAGAGCTCCCGGAAGGATGAGGAACCAGGGTCCAGAGAGGGAAGCCGACTCGCCCAACATGGCCAATCGATGGTCAAGTGGGACAGAATCCAGGTCTCCTGGGCTCTGTCAGACCGACTTGCCTCCCAGTTGACTAAAGTTGGCTGAGAGGGAAGGTTAGCAGGATTGTGCAGATGAGCAGAGGGAGGGGTGAGGCATGCAGGGATAGAGGCTTGGGGGCCCAGACAAATGTGGAGACTGGGCACAGAGCAGTAGGCTTCCCGGGGGTCCTCCACCCCCCAGTCCCTTGGCCTCATGTCAAACTCAGTCTAACAGACTGAGACTACAGATTTCTCCTAACCTCCCAAGATACCCTCTTCAGTGGAGAAGAGTTTCCAAGGTTGCATTATTGCAGCTGAGGTTTCTGTGGGTGCCAGTCCCTTCCTGAGCTTGTAACCGGTAATATAACCTTCCTGCCCACCCTTTCCTTGTCCCCTGATTTGCTTAATTGCTGTGATCTGTGTTTAATTATCACTTGCGAGGGCGCCATGTTGGGCAACCCTCTTTCCCTTGGTATGTATTTATTAAGGGCTTGTCTAATGAGAACACAATTAAGGAGAGGGTGCTCAGACTGGCTCAGAGAAAAGGAAAGGAAAGGGGAGGTCAGGAGTTCACGAAGAAGAGGGCAGGAAAGGGGAAAACTGGGAGGGGGGGAAGCCCCACGTTTGAATCTGGCCCCGTGATTGGTTTTTTTCTGGAGATGTTGGCCTGTGGGGTATCCCAAAGCCCTTCTGCCTGTCCGCCCCCTGCTGGGATCTGTGTGAAAGGTAGACCCCCTGGGCACAGATTCTTCCACCTCGCCCTCTTGCTGAGAGTGTGGGGATCCCTGCGTAAGGCAACGCACCCATTCTGTGGCTTGCAAGAGCAGGGCCAGGCACACTGTTTGGGCTTGTTGGCAAAGCTGGTTTTGTTGAGCATTCGGTAGTCTCTCAGGGGCATGCTTCTGTCTCAGCAAAGCTCCGGGGGGTGGGCAGGAAGTAGGCAGGTTGCCTAGGGAGAGGGAGCTGAAATCTTTCCTTTGTCTCTGGGCCCAGGGGCCTTGGCTGGCCCAGCCCTGCCTCCCACAGCCCGCAGAGCCTGCACCCCAGGAGGGGTCTTGTCCCGCTGCCTCGGCCCACTTTCTGCCTCTCAGCTCTAACTTTGAGCCTGTCTGACTCCCCTGGGGCCAGAGAGTATCAGCTTCTTTATTACAGTCAGCCTGTTTCCGCCTGCCATGCCAGGCAAGCCCTTGGAGCTAAACTTAGAGTCTGGGCCACCTTGCCCCTCTTTCCTCCCTCCCCTCAGTGTGTGTGTGTGTGTGTGTGTGTGTGTGTGTGTGTGTGTGTGTGTGTGACTGATCCTTGGATGTGGGAAAAGGTGGCAGACCATTTCCTGCCTTGGCATTTGCCTTGGAATGTCTGCTGGGTCCTGAAGATTCTGGCTGGTGTGAATATTTAATAATAGGATTTGCACGTGCTGAGTACTTTTATTACTTTAGTAAAACTTGGGAGTGCTGAGTCAGTCCTCAGACAAACCCCTGAAGGGAGGATGGGGGGGCGGCGAAGGCTTCAGAGAGTTGCCAGCTAGCTGGTTAGGGCCTTTCAGTGAGCGAAGGCAAAGCTCTGGGGCTCAGAGTGGAATTCCACAGGATTCATGGGGACTTGTTCATCAATCCCATGATGCCAGAAAGAGGCCCCTAATCCCAGATACACATGTGCACTCACTGAAATTCTAAACAGTTGAAATTCTAAGCAGCTTCTTTACTCCAGGGAAATGGCATGGGAAGAATGACCTCCATGAGGTGGTACAGGGTGGGAGTACAAAATGTGTGAATGGCCCGAGACATTCTCAGCTGACACTGGTCATTAAGCAAGGGGAGCCCTGGTTACTTCCAGACCTGTGATGAAGGCCAGACCTGTCCCCTTCCCTCCTTCCAAACACCATCCTCCTCTACCTGCAGGGTGCCTCGGTCAGAGCGATGGGCTCACTGAAGCCCCTCTTGTGTTTTGTAAGTTTGTGTTTTGGCTTTATACCAAGCTCAGGAGATAGGAAAGACAACCATCCTAGTTTTGGGGGCATTCAGGCAGGATGTGGCATCCCTGACTTTCCCAAGGTCAGCAGGCAGAGTGGGGGCCTGCCTTGCACCTGCTGACCAGCCTGCTTCTGGCCTGGCCATCCTTTTGAAGCTCTCCTCTGGGGGCCTCTAGTGGATCAACACCTGCCCTTGCTCCTTCCTCTCCCCCTAGCACAGTCTCACAGATGAGAGAGCATGGGAAACAGGTCCCCCGGGGCTTTCCTCTGCCCAAGCCTCTCAGACATTTTGGACAAGGCTTCCAGATTGCTGGGAGGATGTGCAGTGCAGAGGCCAGGCTTGCCCACCCTCTCTGATGCCTTAACTTGGGCAGGGCTCTGGACTTTTCCGGGAACGCCTCTGTGCCTTTCCTTTGTCCCCTCCAGGCTATGGTGAGAATTGGTGGTGTTTCACTGTGGGAGTCCGGAGTGTACTAGTTAAGTCATCCACACAGGCACACACTAATCAGGAGAAATGTGCATTGTCATGAGCTAGACCTTAAAGAAGTAGTCTGTCCTCTGTTCTGGACTGTTCTTTTGCTCTTTTTTTGCTTCTACCTATTTAAAGCAGTTTGAAAGATTTTACTTTTGATGTGTCTCTTTGGCGCTCTTGGATATCTCGTTCTGCCTAGGGTCAGGGAGGTGATTTGACCCCTGACTTGAGTCCCCCAGTCTGCCCCAAGAGCCAGGTTTCTGAGCAAGGGGCACCAGTGAGTGCCAGAGGCTGGAGCTATGGTGCTCCTTGGAGCTGGGGCCCCCGAGGGAGGCCTGTGGTTATCAGGAAGCTTCTCCTGGGGCCTTTCCTTTATAGCTCCGTACTCTGTTCCTTAGTTTGGAGGAACAATGAGGGTGGGAAGCAGAGCTGGGGTCTCCTATATCATCTAGGCTGGAGGGTGGACTCTCCTGTCTGGCCCCTGTCCCTAGACCTCTGGGGGAGGTGTGCTGCAGGACAGGAGCAGAGGTAAAAAGGCAAGCCAGGAGTGCTAGGCAGAGCTAGCTTCGACAGTGCGAATGCGACTTATTCCACTCACTGGAGGTGTGTGGCCTTGAGCAAGTTAATTTTTCTGAGCCTCTTTCTTCATTTTGTACACTGAGGATAAAAATAATAACCACCTCACAGGATTAGTATGAGGATTAAGTGAGACAGTGTATATAAAATACCTGTCCTCTCTTAGAGGAAGTGCTCAGTTCCAGCTTCACCATTTACTCTGTGGCCCTGGGTGAGTTACTTAACCTCTCGGAGCCTCAATTTCATCATTGTAAGATGAGAAAAATTTACACCTACCTCTTGGTGTTCTAATAAAAGTTGGCGTTCATATGTGTAAACTGTCTAGCGCAGTGGTCCTCAGAGTGTTGCCCCTGACCCCAGCATTCCCTGGCAACCTTTAGAAATGCAAGTTCCCAGGCTCTAGACCTACTGAATCAGAAACTCTAGAGGTAGGGCCAAGCTGTCTGTTGCCCTCCAGGTGAATCTGATGGTCTCTCAAATTGGAATGCCACTGCTCTAGAACATTTCCTGGCACCTAAGAGCCCATCAGAGAGTGAGGGCTAACTTCTCAGCCCTGCTGGGAACCTTGGTGGGCAAGTCCTGCTATATTAGGATGTAAGAGAGGATTTTTTTGCTTTGGGGCTTTGGAATGCTAGAAATGTTTCTTGTTGACCTTAGGCAAGTCACTTAACCTCTCTGTGCTTTGTTGTCTCATCTGCAATAGGGACCTATAATAATATGTCACTCAGAGGATGGGGGTGAGGATCAAATGGGCCTATCAGCTATTATGGCCGGTGGCAGGGGTCATGATGGGTCACCGGAATACTGGGTGTTCTTTCTGACTTTTCGAGGTAAGAGCGCTCCACTTTGCCTTCAGAAGCTAGGGTGATGTGAAGAAGCTGAGGGGAGCCCCGAGGGCAAGAAGGAGGAGAGCTGGCTGCCCTGGGGAGCAAAGCAAGAGGAAACTGGTTAGGGGCCATGAAGGGATCAAGGTAGACAAAAGAGGTCCTTCCTTGGGGGTGAGGATGGGAGAAAGAGCAAGGTTGTTGACCTTTAAAACAAAGATGACCCTGGCTGTCTTGGGAACAACACCAATTCTGGGGACTGCCTGCAGAGCCGAGAGTGGGCCTGGGCTGAGAGGGGGGCTTCCGGGGGCCAGGCCAGCACACCCAGTCAGCACAAGTGAGTCCTTGTAGCCCTGTCTGTAACCGTGGGCATCAGTCTGGGGCCTCTAGCGCTGGCATTCTGGGAACGCCTGGCTGGAGGTGCAAGTAGCTCAGAGCAGGTGCAGTCTGGGAGGAAACATCAGGGAAACTTTGGGACAGGAATTAGTGCAGCCACGTGGCTGTTCTCAACTGCCCACCAGCTCTTGAGTTAGACCTGGGTTCGGATTTCAAGGACCCCTAGAAGTTGTACAACTTTGGGCAAGGCATTTTGCTCTTCCGAGCCTCACGTTTCCCATCTGTAAAATGTAGGATTGCTAATACCCATCTTACAGGTGTGGGGTGGGAATGAAATGGGATTACCCACTTGCAGCCCGTGGCAAGTGGGCTCAGTAAGGGCTTCACTGGGAACCTGAGTAGGACTCTCTCTGAGACCTCAGGTGCCCCTTTCACCTCGGGGCAAGGACATCACTGGGGTATCTTATTCTGAGGCCCCTCCTGCCCTCGACCTTGAGGTACATTGGGGTCTCCTCCAGGACTCTGTAGGACAGGAGGAGGGCCAGGGCCCCTTACGAAGATTCATGAAGGGGGGGGCGGTCCCAGAGGCCAGGAGTGGAGACTGATGGTTTCCACTCGCCCAAGCGGTGGGGGTGGTAATGACGTTCTGGGGAGTGGGTGCGAGGGCAGTGGTGGGGTGGGGGTGCGGGTAGGGAAGGGGAAGAGCTGGGGAGGGGGGCGGAGGGCGCTCGAGGAACGTTCCCAGGACGTGGGCCGGAGAGGGGCTGCGGGGTGTGGGCGCGGGCCGGGAGGGGCCGGCGGTCCTGCGCCCTCTCCATGCTGCCCCTGCTCTCGAGCGTCCCTGTGGTCGGGAATCGGCCTCCGCCGGTGTCTCCCGCCCTCCCTCCCACTTTCTCTCCTGCGATCGCGCTCGCCGCCGCCCGGTGCCGCCCCGTCCCATCCCGGCCTGGGCTCCCTCCTGGTCCCAGGGTCGCGGGCGGTGGCCAGAGGGCGTGGGACCCGGCCGGCCAGGCACGGTTAGGCGGGAGGTGGCCCTCCGCCTCTCCGCCCCTTGGGGCCGGTGGGAGGCCGCGGTGCAGTGGGGCGGGCTGCGTTTGCCCATTTTCTCTTCACCGCGAGGGACCTGGCTCCAGCCTCCCCGTCCCCACCCCCACCGCGCCCCCACTCCGGGAACTGTACCGGGGGGCCGCGCACCGTCCTGAGGGAAACTCCCACTGCAAACAGGCAGAGCCCGTCCGGCCCTTGGGGTGGTGCGGGATGGCACTTGCGGGGACTGAGCCCGCGGGGTAGGGGCGCGGCCTGGCGGCAAGGGCCTCGTTTTCCTGGGTTGGGGTGACCTCTGGTGGTCATTCCGAGTGCCACTCGGGCAGCTCCCTGGCCCAGGCCAAGGGGAGAAATCAGTTAGGGCGGGTGGCTCAGGCAGTGTTCTTTGAAGAGAACCGTCCTCCCGAAGTTGATACCCAGGGTGACAGCGACCTCCCTGCCTGGCCACCACTCCTCCCTGCCCGAGTGTCCTCTTCCAGAGCTCCAGGCTGGAGATTCCGGTGGGGTTTTCTTAAGGGAGGTGGCGACTGTCACACAGGTCTCTTCCTGCTCCCGGTGTCCCTGTCGCTGGAGGTGTCTGTGGGAAAGGCCACCACCATCTATGCTGTCAATGGCACGGAGATCCTGCTGCCCTGCACCTTCTCCAGCTGCTTTGGCTTCCAAGACCTCCACTTCTGGTGGTCCTACAACACCAGTGATACATTCAGGACTGTAAGTAGTGGGGGAAGGGACAGGACAGCTCAGACTCTCCCTAGCACCTTGCCCCTGCCTCCCTTTCCCCTGCTCTGGTCCCTTCTGGACTGACCTCACTGTGATGGTCCCCGGAATCCGCCTTTTGTATCCTTTCTCCTAGCATTCTTTCCAGAGCCTGTCCAGAAGGATCTAAGTGGGAGGGATGCTTAGATGGTATTGCCAGAATTTGGGGCTTGTTGGAATTCTTGGCTAGAGTTCTTCATCTGGTCTGAAGAAATACCTGAACTTGGATTGCTTGTGTAAAAATAATTTAATTTACTGTTGAATCACAGATCTGTACTTCTGAAACAAATAATGCAACATATGTTAAGAAAAAAGAAAAAGAAGAAGATAGCAGGAGGGGAAGAATGAAGGGGAGTAAGTCGGAGGGGGAGACGAACCATGAGAGACGATGGACTCTGAAAAACAAACTGAGGGTTCTAGAGGGGAGGGGGTGGGGGGATGGGTTAGCCTGGTGATGGGTATTAAAGAGGGCACATTCTGCGTGGAGCACTGGGTGTTATGCACAAACAATGAATCATGGAACACTACATCAAATACCAATGATGTAATGTATGGTGATTAACATAATAAAAAATTTAAAAAAAAAGAAAGAAAAAAATAATTTAAAAAACAGGAGAGTGAAAGACCCTTGGAAGGCTTGGAGAAAAGAAATGGGAAGAGTTCAAATGGGAGAAGGGCTGGGGACCTGGCCCTAGAAAGAAGGGAGAGGAAGCTAGGGAAGAGAAAGCTCTTCTGCAGGAGCTTCGGCTGGGCTGTGGGCTGGAGATGGGGATGGACCAGTCGACAGGTGTTTAGTGAGTACTCACTGTGCAGTCTCGTAGGGGACCCGAAGTGTACATAAGGAAGCCACAAGAGACCAACTCTGGATGTGATTAAACCCTGGGCTCAGGGCCGGTGGTGGACAGTGCTGGAGGATGGATCCAGGTCTTTATGGAGGGCCAGAATTCAGATGGACAGGGGACAAGTTGTCAGCAAAGGCTGTGGGGGGTGGTGGTGGTGGTGACAGAGGGAAATGAGAGTGGTAATTGCTGGAGCCATGATGTGAAAGGCTTTTATGAGGAAAAAGATAAAAGCTGTGCTACGTTCTAGGGAGATTTTAATGACAGAAAATGGGTTTAGCTTGAAGCAAGCGAAATTCAGGTTAGACAGGCAGTGCTATCGGTACTGGAAGGAAACCAGGTGGGGGGAGCACCTCTGGCTGTAGGCTCTCTCTGGACCTGGGCGGGGAGGCACCCAAGGACTGGGCTGGAGTGATGCCGTGACCCTTGAGGACGCTGATTCTTTCTTGGCCACCTCTTCCACATCCCCTTCCCCCCATAGCTCATAGACGGGACGGTGAAGAATGAAAAGTCTGACCCTAAGGTGAAGTTCAAAAATGATGATCGCATCACTCTGGAGGGCTCCACTAAGGAGAAGATGAACAACATTTCCATTCTACTGAGGAACCTGGAATTCAGCGACACAGGCAAATACACCTGTCATGTGCAGAACCCCAAGGAGAATAATTTTCAGCACCAGGCCACCATCTTCCTCCAAGTCGTTGATAAATGTAAGCAGTGGGGGCTGGGATGAGGGCAGTGGAGTGGGAAGCACGGCGGGCTACCCCACTCAGTGGGGTCAAATGACATTTCAGCCCAATGGCAAAATGGACCACATGGGTGTTTTCTTTTGCTTTGTGCTTTCAAAAGTTGCTGGAGTCCCATCTGGAAGCTCAGATAATGTAGCTCCCATACCTGTTCTGCCACTGAATAGCTTATGATACACACTTAGCCCCTCTGAGCCTGGTTTGCCTCATCTGCAAAATCTGCATCATCCTAGGGTGCTCGCGAGAAGGAGGGACGGGACCTAGGATGGTTCGTGGTGGGAAAGTTCTCTGTGTGTGCTGATGATTACTACTGTTGTGTGTCCCTCTCGCAACTGTTGATCGAATGCCAGGCATCACACCAAAAGTGACGTGAATGATCCCCAGTGTTCTTCCTTGAGGAATTTACAGTCCAGAGTAGGACAGGAGACAGGTAAACAGAGGACTGACAGAGGGACAGAGATGTAGAGCCACAGGCAACTGAGATTGGTAAGAGTGGCTGCTCCCCTCTGGAGCTTAAACCCCAGCTGGGGATTGTCATCGGCCACAGGTAGGACAGGGGAGCAGTGAAGAAGCCTGTGGGGAGCAGCCAGGTGGTCACATGACCCCCGACACTAGAGGTGGTTAGAGAAGAGGCTGGAGGTGTTATGCTGGGCTTCCTGGACGGGGAGCCTGGAAGGCTAAGGAGGCATAGAAGTAGAGAAAAAAAGGAAGGACCTGCTCTAGGGTCCTGCTTGTGCTGCATTTCTTGGGTGCCTGGGGGCTCACTGCTCTCCCGGATGAAGTGGGGTCCTTGGAGAGAGAGAGATGCCCGTGAGTTCACTGTTGGCTGTGCCGAGGGTGGAGCCGTAGGCCACCCAGGCAGCTCGCTCTGAGCCTGGAGCCGTCTGAGTCTAGGCTGTGTATGGCGTCACCTCTTCCTCTCTGTCTGGATGTCGTCTCACTTCGTGCTCAGCCTTTGCAGGAGGGAAGAGGAGGGGAAAGGAACCAACATTTATGGAGCATTTTGGGGTGCCAAGCCCTGAGTTAGGTGCTGTACCTTACCTTCGCACCTTTGTCCCTCACACGTCCCTTTGAAGGTCTCTTTTCTCCATTTTTATAGATTCCTTCATTCATCTAGTCAACAAATACTTGTTGAGCACCTACTTATGTGGCACCTACTAGGTGCATGGACAAGGTAGACAAATTCCTGCCCTTACGGAGATTTCCTTCTCATCAGGGGAGATATGCAGTAAACAAAACAAAGAAGAAAATGATGTTGTGTAAGAGAACATGGCTGGTGTTGTAGGGAAAAAGCAAAATGGGGAGGGAGAGAGGGGATGCTAACAGTGTCACTAGGAAGGCCTCACTGAAAAGGTGACCTAGAATAAGGACATTTGAGGGAGCAATGAAGATGTCTTTGGGTAGATAGTCCAGGCAGAGGGAATAGCAAGTGCAAAGGCCCTGAGGCAGCTACTTGAACATCAGTGAGGCCAGTGTGGCTGGAGCAGGGCGAATAGCAAGAAATGAGTCAGGTGAAGCCATGTTGTGTGGGGCCTTGTTAGCCTAAGTAGATGGGAGCCACTGAAGAGCTCTGAGCAGAAGAGTTAACCCAGAACAGGCTCTCTGCAGGGCCAAGAATAGACTATGAAATGAGGAGTCCAGTTAGGAGGCTCCTACAAACATCCAGGCCGGGATGTCTTGAGCCAGTGTGGTACTGAGAGATCAGATTCTGGAATTTTTAAGTTAGGGCCATTAGGATTCTCAGGTGGATTGAATGTGGGGTTTGGAGAAGGAAGGGGTCAAGGATGACTCTAAGGATTTTGGTCAGAACAGCTGGAAGGATGGAGTTTTCTCTACAGAGGTGGGGAAGATGGTAAGTGGAGCAGGTTCTGGAAGTTAGGAGTTCAGTTTTCTGATGAGGAAACCGAGGGAAAAGGTTTAAGTGGCCAGTTCAAGGTTACCAGCCCATTAGTGACCTCTGAGATCCTGTAGTTAAAACCCAGACGCCCTGGCTCCAGAGTTTTCCTGCCACATAAAAGTTGTTATAGGGAGATTCTTGATTTTTCCTGCGTGGACAAAGGAGGCCCAGAAAGAGGCAATGAAATTTTTTTTTAAAGCATTTTCCATTATTTTTAAGTTTGAAAGCTTTTTTATTTTTTTTTTTAAGATTTTATTCATTTATTTGACAGAGAGAGAGAGAGAGACAGTGAGAGAGGGAACACAAGAAGGGGGAGTGGGAGAGGGAGAAGCAGGCTTCCTGCTGAGCAGGGAGCCCGATGCGGGGCTCGATCCCAGGACCCCGGGATCATGACCTGAGCCAAAGGCAGACGCCCAACGACTGAACCACCCAGGCACCCCAAGAGGCAATGAAATTTTTAATGTGGCAGTTTGGGGGGCCAAGTCAAACTGTTAAGGGCCCTGAGTCTGAATTATTCCAGAACTGTGTGTCTGTGGGAGGGTATGTGTGTGGAGGGGGTGGGGGGGAAGGAACCTCTTTGTGTTGTGCCTTAGCCTGGTAGATGCCATGTTTCAGCCTCCGCTTCCTGCTGCAAGGCCTGGGGAGGGCCAGGGGCTGGGTGGGAGTGGGCACATCTCAGATGCCAGGGCTGGAGGGCTATAGCCATCGGGCTGCCGTTGTGCTGGACTCCAGGCATCTCCTGCTCCCCTCGCCCACCCCCTTCTCTCCCTGCTCTGGCCATACAGTGGAAGAAGTGGACAACACGGTGACCCTCATCATCCTGGGAGTCGTGGGTGGGGTCATCGGGCTCCTCATCCTCATCCTGCTGGTCAAGAAGTTCATTGCCTTCATCATCAAGAAGACTCAGGAGAAGAAGTGAGTTGACTCCATTGCACGCTCCTGTCCTCCCACCGGCCCACCACCCACTCCCGTCTCGCGTTGTGGGTGCTCCCAGCATCATCTCATTCCACCGTCATCTGCCCCCATCCGCCTTCATCCTTCCATCTGTCCCCTCATCCCATCCTCTCTTCCCACTCCTACTGCTCTTAGGAAAGAGCCTAAGGGGCTCTGTCTCCCAGCCCTTCTTCCTCTCCCTCCCAGTACGTATTTATTGAGCACGCCGAGTTCCCTGAGTATATGAACTTGCTCTTCCTTATCCGGCTTCCTAATCCATCCCATTAGCTTCTCTCTTTCCATTTGTACCTCCCCAACCTAAGTCCTACCAAGGGATTTAGATGGCTTGTTTCTTTTCATCATAGAAAAGACAAGATTCCATGTACAGAAACTCTAAAATGGGAAGACCCTTCTAGAGAGATGGGAGTCTTACTGTGAGATTCTGGAAGTTCACCTAGGGGAAACTAAAGAAAATCTAAAAAGGCTGATAGGGGCTCCCCAGAAGCCCCAGGGCCAGCTCAGGTTTGAGACAGACATCTCTAAGGGGAAGGGGAGGGAAGACGGGGAGGTATAGAGAGTACGCGCTCCAGGCCCAGAATTGCCAGAACTGTGTCAGGCTCCAGAGAAGCAGGAGTGAATGTAAAAAGGTGTTTGGAAGTTGTATTTTTTTTAAAGATTTTATTTATTTATTTGAGAGAGAGAGAGAGAGAGAGAGAGAGCATGCACGAGTAGGGGGAAGGGCAGAGAGAGGGAGAAGCAGACTCCCCGCTGAGCAGGGAACTCAATTCGGGCTTGATCCCAGGAGCCCAGGTCAGTCTGCATTCCACCTGAGCCAAAGGCAGACGCTCAACGGACTGAGCCACCCAGGCGCCCCTGGAAGTTGTATTATCAGCAAGAAAGATGAGAGGAGGCATTGGAGCCGAGAGGGGGACGGCGGCAAGGAGATTCAAGGGGGCAGGGATGCTGCTCTGTTTCTGTTCCCATCATTCTGCTTTGTTGAGAAGAGGGAATTAGGCTGGAAAGGACAAAACTTGTGCTGGTAAGAGGGGAGGGAAGCTGAAAGCAGGGGGATATTAAGGGGACGGCACGGGGGGTGGAGGGTGGGAGGCATTGGCTGAGATGAAGAATTCTGGGATTGTCTCCCTGCATTGTGGCCAGGGTTTTGGAGATTTTGAGAGGGGGCAGGGGCATGGAGTTAGACCAGATTCTCTTTTTAACAACCAGTTTTGCTATTGATGGTTAGCAAATTGGAGAGCAGATTATTCAACCTGTGGTTTAAAAGCACCTAGAAAAGAAAACAGTGATCCTCGGGAGCCGCCATGGCTCATCAAGGGCAAGGCAGACCAAACGTTTTCTTGCTAGGGCACTGGTGGCTCAGGAGATGGCTACGGATGATAACACCTCTTGTCATTCATCGAATGCCTACCATGTGTTAGGTACTCTGCCAGGTGTTTATATAATAACCACAATTTTTATTTTACAGTTGAGCAAGGTGAGGCTCAGAGTGGTGACGGGGCTTGCCCGGGGCCACACAGCTAGAAAGTGATAGACCTGAGGTTAGCATCCTGACTGGTTTGGCTTCAAAGCTTTAACCACTTTCACCATATCCTACTGATTTGGGGAGTATATCCAGAGTTCATTCATTCCTTCTTTCATTTGATGGCTATTTTTGAGGTAGTGTGTGCAAGGCACCATACCAGGTGCTGTAGGAAATTCTGGAAGGAATGAGATTCTGCCCTTAAGTAAAGAAGACAGGGTGTGTATGCAAATAAATGTAAGAAAAGGTAGAGCTAGGATGGGTGCCAGCAAGGAGGTGCAATAGAACGCTCCAGGCGTTCCAAAGAAGGTGGAATGCTAGGGAAGGGTTTTTGGCCAAAGGACGTTTGTGGTAGGCCTTGCAAGGTGGATCTAATGTAAGCCCTGGGGAGGGTGAGAAGGGCGTTGCAGAACTGCTGAGAGCAGAGGCAGAGAGTCTAGGAAGAGACATGTGTCTGGAGAACAAGGTGTTTTGTTAGTTGAGAGAGTAGGGGGAGCAGTGGTGGGGAAGGAGAGAACAGGCCTGCAGAGGGCATTGGGGGGAATCTCCCTGGGGACCTGGGAGTCCAGGTTGAGACTGGCTTTCCTCTTGGGTGCAGTGGAGCTCGTGAGGGCTTTCAGGGCCTGACATGATCAGAGGGCTTTGGAAGCAAGGGTCTGGCCTTGGTGAGCACAGGGCCTGGGTTGACTATACCTTAGGTATGGAGATCGATCGATCGATCGATAGGTAGATCCATCTGAATAGAGGTCTTTAGTGGTATGCCACAGGGCTCTGCTTATTCATTGTTATTAAGATTTGAATTACGCCAGGAATGATATCAGGTTTTCAGGAACCTAGTGACTATGTTGGAGAGCAAAAGTGGGATCTAGGAGGAGCTCAAAGGCTAGAGCTGTGGACTAAATTTTGCAAGACAAAATCGATGAGGACAAAATAGGAAGTCCTTCCTGAAGGCCTCAAAGCCGGCTACACAAGTCCAGGGTGAGGCTGAGATAGTTTAGCCACAGTGGCCGTGAAACAGCCTCGGAAGTTTTCCTGAGCAGAAAGCTCAGAGTGATGTAGCCCCGGAGAGCCCTGCACAGCGTGGGCGCTGGCGGTGAGGTGGGCCATACTCACTCCGGAGCATGTGCCTCTCCCGGCAGTCAGGGTGGTGAACTTCCCCGGGGGGTGTCTTCCCATGTAACCATCCCTCCTTCCTGCTGCTGTCTCCCCCGTCCCACCACACCCTGCCCACACCTGCCTTCCTTGCTGCCAAAACCTCTGTCGTGAGCACTCTCCTCCCTCCTGTCACAGCCAGCTCAGAGAGGAGGGGCCTGCCGGGGTCTGGGGGAGGAGCTCTTTGCCCTTGCACATACTACCTGCTGCCCGCACCCTTCCCCCTGGGTTGGCACAGCCTGGGAATTAACCTGGTTTGGCCTCCCCTGAGCACTGATCCCTGTGACTAGCACCTGGTTGGTGCCCTTGCCTTCCGCCACGCTGGGACGACTAGGTGATGGTGGGTCTTATTGTGTCCTGTCTGCGTGCCAGGCACCGCTCTAGGTGCTCACTGATGCCTCACGGCACCCGCGCGAAGAAGGTGTTATCGTCACATCCATTTTATAGATGAGGAAGCTGAGGCCCAGAGAGGTTGGGTGACTTGACCTCTTGCCACCTTTGGGAGAGGGCGCGGGGCTGGCCGCGGGGCCCAGGCTCCTGTCCACAGTCGACCCCTTACTCTGGCCCCTCTCCTCCTCTCTCCCTCTCCAGGAAGGAGTGCCTTGTGAGTTCCTCAGGGAATGATAACACAGAGAATGGGTTGCCTGGCTCTAAGGCAGAAGAGAAACCACCAACCAAAGTGTGAGCCCCCCCTGGGGGCCAAGCAGCCGCCTGGGCCTCACTTGCTGATGATGAACTGATGCTTGAGCCACGTCCGTGAACCACGTGCCTGAGACACCTGCTGCTTGGCTCCAACAGTAGTCTTTCTGGGGAGAAACTGGGGTCCTGCCCAGCCTGCCCACTCCCTCCCAGCCAAGGCTCCCCAGGGATGAGGGCTGGCCAGGGGAGGGGGCCTGTAGAGAGTTCAGGAAAGGAAAGGAGGGCTGGGTGGTGTGGAGGGTGGGTCCCCTGATACCTGGGGTACCTGGGGTTTTCTTTAGTCTCCTCACCGGGTATGAGCAGTACTTTGGTTTTCCTCCAGATTTCTCTTTAAGAGAGGCTTGAGGGGATCAGCACAGCTTGCCCTAATAGCTGGACCCCAGTGAATAATAGTGTGGAGATCTAACCCTTTTGGTGGTGGATGTGGCCTAGAGGACTCTGTACAGGATCTGGGGTGGGAGCCTGGTGGAGGGGGGAGGGGGGCCTATAGTGAGAAGCTCTGATGGATACCTGATCCCCCAGGTCCCTCTAGTAAGGCGCTTCCCTCCCCCCTGCCACAAGCTGTCTGGCAGCCTCCACCCCATCTCCACCCCCAGACCCCCTCCCCCTGCTTGGAGTCTGTGAACCCTCCCAACTAGGGCTGGCTATCTTGGTCTTGGGGTCTTGGGCCCCCTAGCCTGCTCCTCTGATCTCTGAGTTCCTGAGGGGCTTGTGAGGAGGACCCTCCAGCCTTCCTGGAGCACTGGGGCACTGCCTATGCCTTTCCTAGCATTTCTCCTTGGGCAACCAGGACCGCAGAGGTGGGCGAGCCCATGTCCAGGGCCTCTTGGCCCCTGGGATGCCCACCCCAGCCCCACCAGTGCTGGCTGCCCCTTTTCCTTGGCATGGCCGGCCCATTGCCACCCCTGGAAACTCCCGAGCTTGCCTCTTTCCCTGATGCAGCAGGTGGGGTCATCTTGCTTGAGGTGTTGTACCCTCAAACCCTCCCCTCCCTTGGGTTCATGCCTCCTGTGCCCATGCTCATCCATCATACCTTCTCCCCTGGCCCAGGGTTGTTCACCTCCAACCCGGGGTCGAGGGCTTGCTTTCACCTCAGGGATCCTCCTGCTTCAGAAGAGGGGGCCCCTGGGTTTTCTGGCTGCTTCCTGTTCAGCTGTGTCACCCCCCTCCACCCCCAGTGTTGGGGAGGAGCAGGGAGAGGGTGCTCAGTCTTCCTTTGCTTTCCTGAGAGCTGGTTTGCACACCCCTGTGTGTGGGGCTGGACTGTGCCTTAGCTCCTTGTGTCCTGGCTCATCCCCTCCGTCCCCTCTCCAGCCTGTGTGTGACAGCCAGCCCTGGTGTGCCACTCCGAGGGGTCCCCAACCTGCCTTCCCCCAAAGCCATTCTGGGGACCAGGGAGCTGGGGTGGTGCCACCCATGGCCCCCTGGACAGTGATGGAATCTTGGAGCTGTCGGGCTCCCCGGTAGGGAATGCGGTGGTGGTGTCCCCGGGGGGACGGGAGGGATGAAGTGAGCCGTGCGGTGATAACAGAGGCCTCCACCATCTGCTCCTGCTGGCTCGCTCTCTGACACTCTGCCCCTGGGCCTGCGACGGATGGGAGGGCAGGAGCCCCCTTTCCCAGAGGTTATGGGGACTGCCTCAGGATTCTCCCTGTCAAAAAGTGGCTGCAGGCTTCCCGCAGGGTGGAGGTAGAGGAGACTGAGGGGCAGCAGCTCCTGCAGGTGCCTGGCTGAGGCCCTCACCCCTCCTGATGGGTTTGCAGGGCCCCACCCTGATCTGCCTCCAGGGCTCCCATCCTTGTCCCTCCCAGAACCTTAGGCTCAGGCGCAGATTTTCCCGGTTTGGGAGCAGACAGACCGGAGCTACCAGCCATTTGGAAGAACTTCTTGTGGCTACCTTCATGAAAACTGCTTTCTTCCCCCTTTCCCAGTGCTAACATTTGAATGAGCTGAATCGCCTGGGCTCCTCTTACTCTCTTCAGACGAGGCCAGGGTGTACAGAGCAGGGGGGCCGTGGGGGAAGAGCATCACCCTCTCCACTCCTGGGTCTACTGTTGACTGATAGGTGGGTCATACATCTTCTCTAGGCTCAGCTTTTCCCATCTCTAAAGTGGGTGTAATCATACGTACCTACCTCCCAGGATTGTTGTGGGGCTTGGCAAGTTTTTGTTTAAAAAAATCTTTTTGGCTTGGAAAGGGGTCTAGGAGGCCAGGCATTATAGTTGGAGGAATTGGTCCAAGTCTGTCCTGTTCTCACCTCCGTGTCCCGTCCCTAGGAGACACACACACACAGACTCACACACATGCACACGCACGCGTGCACTTTCTCTTTCTCACTCACTCTTGCTCTCTCTCTCTCTTCCCACTCCTCCCCCTTGGAATTATTTTAGTCTTTGTAATATTAGAAACCTTGGCTCTGATGCTTAAAGCTTCTTATCCATGGCTTTTGTTTGGGAGTTTTCAATAGAGGTGGCATAATAGGGACTGTAGGGGGACATTTTTGGTGGTCCCAATGCCTGTGGGCCCTATGGACATTTAGTGAGTGCTCAAGAATGCTCAGTTTTATCCCCACAACAGAGAATTGTTCTCCCCAGCGCTGGGGTGATACCCACGGAGGAACACTGGCATGGATTTGCAATAGAATGTCTTTGGGCAAAGCCATCTTCCTAGGAAGAGCCTCAGTGTGTGCAGATCTCCGGGGGCTGGTGAGGGTGTTTCAAGGGCTTGTGGGCTAGAGAGAGCCATTCACAGAATTGACCTTGGGAGCCCTGCAGGCATGCAGCTGTGCTAACAGTAAAGTCAGGGAGACCAAAGACAGAGTCTTTCCCAGCTCCCCATCTTTGGCCTTGAAGTGGGACCTCAGCATCCCAGGCCTTGAGTTTCTCCCTGGGTAGGAATTGAGCAAAAGGCCATCAGAATGAACCTGTAAGGCTAGAGTGGTCTGGGAGAGGGGCCAATGGAGCTTAGGCTTTTCCTACCTGGCTGGGTGACCAGAGCCGGGAGGTGAAGTGAGGGGTGTGACAGCGTGCCCCAGAGATGGTGGCAGGTGGGGTGTGCGTGTGGAGATGCATGCCTATGGCCTGGGGGGCTGTGCATGGAAACGGGGATGTATGGAGGTATGTGTGCCTGAGATGGGGGAGACTCAGCACATTTGGGAAGCCATCTTCCCTGGCCTGAGCAATACCTGTTGGGACACCAGGAGCCTGAGAAAGGATAAGAGACTGAGGGGAAGAACAGCCATGCTCTTCGGTCCCGTGACTCCATGACTCCCTCCCACTGTTATGGACAGCTGCCAGGAGTGCTGGTGGGGGTGGGCCGGGAGGGGAATGTCTCGAGAAAACCCTACAGCTTTGCTTCACCTTACTGTGTCCCAGGTTGGAGTCCCTCGCCTCCCACCTCCCACCTGATATTCAGAGCTTTTGACTATCTTATGCATGGTTTATTCCTCTGGCTTGGATGACAATACCCATAGTCATTTTTTTTTTTTAAATATAACTATAGATCAAAACAATGCAGCAATGGGTCTGGGAGGCCTCTGGTCCATGGGTGCCTCTGGGAGGCACAGATATGCACACCCCCAGCAATGACCTGTGTTCAAGCACAGAATGGATGTGATCAACTATCTTGCCTTTATAACACGTTTGGCATTGTAGAATTTTATTTAGCTTTGCCTGAGATGAAATAAAAAATTATGTTTAATAGAAATGGCTTGGGCTTTCCATCTTTGGCTTATTGGGAGTTAGGTTCCGGTTTTGTTACTTGCCAGCTATAACTGGGACAAGTTCCTTTACTTCCCTGAGCCCCAGTCTCCTTTTCTAAAATGTTACCTGCCTAGGTAGGATCACACATGGAAAACGTCGAAGAATGTGTGGCATGTTTCCAGGTATTCAAGTATATTAGCGCTGACCCCTTCTCTGGAGAAGTTGGAAAGCTGGCCCTTGAATACTGGCCCTTGAATACTGGAGTCATTGCCAGGGCCCTCCCTGGACCGCTGACCTTGGTAATGATCCTGGTACCACTAAATGCCATTGCATCCCCTTCCCCGGGGTCCCCTGCCCCAGGTTAATATTTAGAAACAGGTGAAATTGGCTTCAAATGGACAAGGGCAACCTCGAAGAGGAAAAGCACAGGACACACACCACGTGGTGTATATGAGCACCCCGGGCTTTGCTTGGCTGGTTCCTCCAGCTGGCTGGTCCGGGGCACAAGCTCTCTGGCGGTAAGGGAGGAGAGGAGCTTTGGCTTACACCTCAGGAATGACCCTACCCATGCCCACTTCATATTACTGATCTCAAACGCTCTGAACATGGTTTACCCAAGCACTCCCGCCTTCAGAAGAGTTTCCGGAATTGGGGACATGTATGAATGTGTTCAGGCCAGCAAGGGTAGAGTCTACTATGCCTGCCTATTTCCTTTCACACCTGAAACCGTTTGATCAGCAAAGCTCATCAGCGCTATGTTCCAAATACGTCCTGAACTCAATCACCTGTTACCCCCGTCCTCCGCGTAATCCGGGAGCAGGCCGCCACGGGCTCTCACCCGGATTCCCACAGTACCTTCCCTCTCTGCTCTTCCTACTTCTGCCCAAGCCCGCCCTCGTCCTTTCAAAACAAAATGAGATGATGTCATCTGTGCTTCCAGACAAGACAGAGACTTGGGGACTGTGTACCTCCAACACCTACGGAACTGGAAAGAATAGTCGATACGGTGGTTTTCAGATGTAGGACCACAGGGGTTGGAGGACGGCGATTACTGAGAGGGACAGACAAGCGAGGTAGCCCTACTATTGGCCGAGTTTACCGCCTGAGGAGGAGTTCCTGGCCGCCGTGCAGGGAGGGGACCCCTGGCTAGGGCCGGCGGCTGAGTTCATGGGAAACTGGAAGGTGAAGGCAATTAGAATTCACAGAGCCAGACCCCTGCCCAGGGTCCTCGCGAGGCTTCAGCGGATACTGACGGCGGCGTGGGCGGAGACCACGTGACGCCGGCAAGCCCCACCGGAAAGGCTCTGGGCGGGGGAGAATCCTGGGGCTGACAGGGCGGCCCTTCGCCTAGGGCTGATCTCGCTCCCCTCTCGAGGCGGCACCCTTTGAACACCCTTGCCTTCGCCCACGAATGACAAAGTAGGTGGCAGTGTTCCTATTCCGGGCCCGGTGTGAGCGCCAGGGACTGGTCTGGCCGCCCCTCTCCGGTGGCTCTTCCGCAGCCCCAGAGGGTTTCCTCACGCGCTCGCCTCCCCGAGAAGCCAAGACGCCAGGGGCCGGTCTGTGGGTCTCCCGAGTTCGGCCTGTGAAGCTCGCTCTGCTCCGGGACTTGGCAAGGTGAGCCCACCTGCCTGGAATCCCCCCCCCCCTCCGCCGTCTCGGTGTTGCCAGGCCCCCCCGTGCGGTCCTGTAGCAGCTGTGGGGCGCGCAGCTGTGGGGGCGCTTCGTTTGTTTCTCCGCCCTCAGCACTGCCGCGTGCTGCCTGGTGGCGCGGGTCCCAGAGCCATTCCGTCCCCAGTTTTTGAGTTGTTTTAGATGGGAAAGTGAGTTTACTCTCCATCTTTGTCAGAAGAAATTGATGAAAACTTCCAGTCGTAGAGAAACCTGGACACACGTGTTTATAGAAGCTTTGTCACTGCCCCCAAAAGAATCGGAATGTCCTTGAGCTGGTGAATTGGTGGGCAAGCTGTTGTCCATCCGTCCTGTGACGTACCCTTCAGTAATAAAAAGCTCTGTGTGCCAATATGTGTGCATTTTGCCGAGTGAAAGAAGTCAGACTGGAGAAAGTACCTACCGTATTGTCCCATTTCTGTGCCGTCCTGGGAAATGCAACGCTGTAGGGACAGAAAACAGATGAGTGGTTGGTTGACGGGGGCTGTAGGTGAGCGTGGGGAAGGCTGTAAAGGGCAAGAGAAGCTTTTGGGGGGTGATGGAGCTGTGGTTGCTTGCTTGTATACAGTTGTCCAAACTGGCAGAACTCTACACTAAAAATGATGAATTTTATTGTACGTAAAGGAGGTCTCAAAAATTTACAATTAGTTCTGTTTTTGCTCAGAGCCTTCCAGTTTACCTTATTCATTCCTCATAATTGCCCAGAAGGCTCTCTTGTTCTGCCCTTGTTGCCTCTTTTTTTTTTTTTTTTAAGATTTTTTTTATTTATTTGAAAGAGAGAGAGACTGTGAACAGGGGTGGGGAGACAGAGGGAGAGGGAGCCTGATGTGGGGCTGGATCCCAGGACCATGACTTGAGTTGAAGGCAGATGCTTAACTGACTGAGCCACCCAGGCACCCCCACCCCCCGCCCTTGCCCCTGCCCCTTTGATATCTTTTTTCTGCTGACTCATAGCCTCATTGTTCTTGCTGAGCCTCAAACATCAGCCTCCTTTTGTCTCGGGACCTTTGCACATGCTCTTCCCCTGGATACTCACAGGAGTCATTCTCTAATCACGTCTCTGCTCAAATGTCATCTCCTCAGAGAAAATATCCCTGGCTATCATATTTACACTACCATCTCCCACCAGTGCAGATACTTTTTCCTTATCCTGCTTTATTTTAAAGCATTTATCTCTAGCAGACATATCTGTTTACTTGTTTATTATGTAATCTTCTCTAGGATGTAAATTTTTAGATTTCATGGGAACAAGGGCTGTGTCTATTCTCTGGGGAAATCTAGATCCTACCCTCCCCTTGAAGGGATGGCATCTGCAGAGGCCTGGGGTCCCTAAGGATGTGCCAGTCCTGCCCAGAGGGAGGGCAGCCCCTTGGGGCCAGAGTAGACTTTGAGGTCAGTTGTCTGAGCCCTTGACAAGGCAGAGCATCTATGGACGGCTTTCAGGTGGGCCATGGGAAGGGCAGGAGTCCTGGGCCCTGGCTTCTTAAAGTGTGGCCTGTAGACCAGCAGCATGAGCAGCACCAGTCAGCTTGTTAGAAAGGATTTCAGGTCCCACCTTCCATCTCCTGAAGCAGAATTTGCTCTGTAGCAAGTTCCCCAGGTGATTTGTGTGCATGTTCCCCAAGTACATCTCAAACTACAGGCAGGTGTGGGTCCCTGACCTGAACCTGGTTCTCACCCTGGCACTGCCTGCAGGAGGGTTAGAAAAGCAGGGCTTTGTCTTGCCCATTGTTCTCCCTTGTCTTTGGCTGGAACCAGGAAACGTGGAGGCCTTTGGGAACAGGCGGGAGAGCCCCCAACCCTGTATAGTAATGATGCAGGCAAACACAGATTGAATTCCTAGGGTCCCAAGTCACCTTCCTGCAACATATTGAAGTCTCATTCTATTCCTGGAAGGCAAGTATAATTGTCCCCATTTTACCCATGGAAAAAGTAAAGCACTGAGAAGTTAAAAAAAAACAAAACAAAAAACCCCACCTGAAACAACTTCCCAAAGATGTAACTCTTAGGTAACAGCTAGAATTTAAACCCCGTGCATTTTGTAAAACAAGTGGACAACCATTTATGGATATTTGTAAATACTAATACGCTTAGTCACTACCATACACTGAGTGCTTGCTGGACTGGGCCCTTTTCTGAGTACTTTACATGTATTCAGTCATTTAGCCCTCAGGGCACCCCTGCGAGGGAAGAACCGTTATTGTTAGTCCCATTTTACAGATGAGGAAATGGAGACCCAGAGATGTTCAGTATTTGTAAAGAGGCTGGAGAGATACACACCCAGCTGAGATCAGTGGTTGCCTCTGAGGAGGGAGGTTGGGGATTGAAGGGGGGGATCATTGACTCTAAATCTTCGGTGTTGTTTAGAACTATGTAATCCATTTACAGTAAACAGTTTTGAGTCGAGGTGTGCCTGCCTCTAAAGCCCAGATCCTCTTCGCTGCCAAGCCATCTTACAGGTCCTTTCGACTTCCCATTCTGTCCTCCCTCACTGTCCGTGGAGCACAGGGCTTCTCTCTGCCCTGCCTTTGTTCCCACTGTCCCCCGCCCCCCGACCCCCCAGCTGGATTTGCCTTATTTGGCCGCTAGTTCTATTTCAGATGCCACTTTCCATGACGTTTACACACACCTGGATTACAGTGCTCCCCACAGCATGTTCGAATTCTCCCCTGAGCTCCCCCACTGCACTGATGCGCTGGGCAGCACCTCCCTCTCCCTGCCCCTCTCCTGGTACCCAGCCCAGGGTCACACTCAGGGCTCTATCATGCTCCCTGGGATAGCTTCCTTTTCACGGAGGGCTAGCTCGTGGAGATAGCTCTGGATCCGGAGCTGTGAGAGCCAGGCCCCTGCTCTGGCTTCAGGCTCATCTCTCTGGGATTCAGCTCCCTTCCTTCCTTCCTTGTGGAAGAGGAAAGAATGTTCTCTGCCCACCAGCCTTTCCACACCCTCTCTTCCAGGGATGAGGAGGCTCTGCTGTGAGAGTCTCTATGTTAGCCATGGTATATAATTCCTGGCTCCCTCTTGGCCTCCACAGTGGAATCATTTATGCTCTGACTGTGGGATGCAAAAATAGGCCTGTCTCTGCACATGCCCAGGTTAGCTGCTGAATGTCACCATAGAACATTCCATGAATATACGCACATGTGTAGCTATACCTGTATATGTATATAATAGGTGTATTTTTAATTAATATTCTATTTTAAGTAAACTTAAGAATTTCTTTTTTGACCTATGAATTATTTAGAAGTGTTTTAAACATCATTTGTATTTTATATTTTTATTTTTTAAAGATTTTATTTGAGGGGCGCCTGGGTGGCTCAGTCGTTAAGCATCTGCCTTCGGCTCAGGTCATGATCCCAGCCTCCTGGGATCGAGCCCCGCATCGGGCTCCCTGCTCGGCGGGAAGCCTGCTTCTCCCTCCTCCACTCCGCCTACTTGTGTTCCCTCTCTCGCTGTGTCCCTCTTTATCAAATAAATAAAAAATCTTAAAAAAAAAAGATTTTATTAGAGAGAGTGTGCGCACGTGTGTGTGAGTGAGTGTGGCGGGGGGGGAAGGGGTAGAGGCAGAGGGACAAATGGACGCCCCCCCCGCCCCGAGCAGGGAGCCCGACATGGGTCTTGATTCGAGGACCCTGAGGTCAATACCTGAGCTGAAGTCGGACACTTAACCGACTGAGCCACCCAGGTGCCCCTATTTTATATTTTAAAAACTGTTGTTGCTATTTTGCCTTCAATAGCATTACAGTCAGAGAGCTGAATCTTAGCCTAGGTTTCTTAGAAAACTTGTCTAAATTAAAGGTACAACTTAACGCCTTATGGGGTTCCATCACAGGGAAGCAGGAGTCAGGGGAAAGGGCTGTGAGTCAGGGAGAGAGAGAAAGCCAGCACAAGGTGAGGTGTTCCTGAGCTGACCACAGCTCCATCAGCTGAATCACAGGACTGTCCCTGGGGAACTAGGGCTTCTCTGAATAGTTCCATCCTGGGAAGAAGGATGAGTAATTTATCTGCCGGCTCCGTCCTGTCTCCTGTCTTCCATTATTCAATGTTTGTCCTGTAGGTAATAATTTCCATGTTATGTTACTCAGCCTTTCCAGGCAGCCCTGGGGAAGCCAGAGCTCTGTGGGGGCAGTCTGTTGGCTCTGGGTGCTGGAGCTATTGTGGCTCCCACCATGGTGGGCTCAGTGAAGACCACCCAAGCCAGAGCTCGGCCCTGGCCCCAGGTGGGGGGATGGGACTGGTGCGGTGTTAGAAATGATGGCAGTTACCAGGGCTTTGGAACCACGGAAATGAAAGGGGCCAGAGCTGGGTCCATGCAAGGCAGGAAGCTGGGCTTAGAGGTGGGAGGATGGGGGATGTAGGCAAGGCTGGGTTGGAGATTGATGGGAGCACAAAACTGGGTCTGGTGGGTGCCCATACTACTTTTTGAAATGTGTGAGACTTACTTTATGGGCTAGTATGTAGTCGACTTTTTACAAATGTGCTTGAGAGGGATATTTCTAAGTGTTGAGTGCAAGATTCTACACCTGTTTCATATTATTTAATCTTCTCTACTAATATTTTACCTGCTTGACCTAAACCAATAATTGAGAGAAGTATGCTGCAGTCTTCCTCTGTGATGGTGGTTTTATTAATTTCTCCTTGTAATTCTGTTAGTTCTTTTAGGGCTATTTTATATTCTGTTCATACAAGTTAGAAAAACCTATTTACTGAGAAACATTTCAAATATACAGAAAAGTAGAATAGTAAACATCATTTGATTTCACACTTGATGACATTTTGTCATATCTGCTTAACTTGTGTTTTTCCTGAAGTAAGTTACAACTTCCTGTCATTTTATCCCAAATATTTCTGCATGTATGTCTAAAATTAAGGATGTTTTTATAAAGTATAATATTGTCACACATAATGAGTGGTTCCTTACTCTCATTTAATCCCCAGATCCTATTCACATTTCCCCAGTTGCCCCTTTGCCCAAATGTCTTTTGCTGCTAATTTGTTCAAGACTCAATCAGAGAGCTCGTATTTGGTTGTTATGCCTTTCATGACATTGACTTATGGAAGAGATTGGGTCACCTGTGTGGTTGAATGTCC